AAAAAAAAAAAAAGAATAATAATGATGATATTATGTAACTCTGCCTTTGTGTGCGTGGGTGTGTGTGGATGTGGGTAAGTGCGTTTTCCCCCCCCCCCACCCCCTTTTTAGCCCTATCGAGCTTATACACGAAAGTAAAAAAATGTAAAGAGGCGAGAGCCCTATAGAGGACACTGATCCGACCCAAGGTGCAGCGGCCAAAAGAATGGTGCAATATAACCACATGGGAAATCATAAAAAGTTCATGTTCACGGTTAGCAGTCCACATGACCGGCTCTGGCCAATCCCAGAACCCAGCCACTCATAAAGTTCTATCACAAAGTTGTAAATTTTCATAAAACAACAAGGAATTTATTGCATTTCTTCATGACTGCTTTAACAGCAGTCTTTTTCTTAGCCGCCATCTTTTTTTAAAACAAAAATAAAAGAATATGCAAAGGGTTTTTTTGGGTTGTTTTTTTTTTTTGTTCCTGGGTGGGGGTTTGATGGAAATGACTGACTCGCACCTTGCACATTAGATTAGAAAAAAATAATGCCGCCCCACCCCCGCTTTTAAAGGATCAGCTCTGTCAAAGCAATGGGTTTATTTTATTTAAATGTGTCATTATGAATCCTTGAGCTGGAATAGAAAATTAGCAGCCGCCTGCGCTGGAGAAACCCAGAAATAGATCGAGATAAATAGAGATATTGAGGCGGAAATGCGGTCTGTATCTGTAGCATAATCTAAACCTGCGTATTTTTGCCTCGCTTCGTATTTATGGTGGTTCTTGGAGGGAGGGAGGTTGGGGGAACCCACATACACCACACACACGCGTTGTTAATGGCAATTTGTCTGATTTTCTTTGATTTTCAGTGATTCTAAGTTGTACCGCTATCTGATTTTTGCGTGGGTAACATTCACCAGCCAGATTTGGTCTTGCGCCGATAAGGTTGGATCCAACAGATTTGGCATAACAAAGGTGTGCTTTTACAAAAAAAAAACAGATTAAATTCGGAGGCGCCATTCACTGCAGAGGTACCTGCCTCAGGGGGATAAAAATATTTCCGCAGAAATAGGGCTTTTCTGGTACCCAGTTCCCGCTAGGGGAAAATAACCCAGGGGATTTGAGAAAGGGGATGGAACATGCAGTTTCCCCCCTGTTTTAGCTTCTCCCCAAGTCGGATCTTCATGGGAAACAAGCCCCATCCTATCTGATCCGCCTAATAATTGCTGTACTATAAATGATGATTATTTTTTAAAAAATAATGCGTCGCATTATTTTCTCCGCATCCTTTTCTGTTCCTATTAAAGGTATCCTACGCTTCTATGATTACATGGAAATCGTGTGTTGGCGGGGGGTGAAATAAAAGGAAGATATTTCATTAAAGATTTCAGCTTCAGCGGCGATGGGATGGAGTATGAAGGGAAAGAAGGGCAGAAAGAAAGAGCGCTTTTTTGCCATTGCACCTAACTGGGAGTTGCGGCGTATTTCCTATTCTTATTACACCACTTTTATACAGCGCGGCCTTTACTCAGGCCCCGCTGGAAGAATGAGGGATTTTATTGAGCACTGGGAATGTAAATAAACAATTAAGTAAAGAAAAAGAAAAAAGAAAAAAAAGAAAAGACAGAGAGAGAGAGAGGAAGAGAGAGAGCGAGCGAGAGAGAGCGGGTTCCTCAGCAAGTGCTTTTAAACCCGTTCCCATTGTTTTGCATTGCTGATGTTTCTTTCCCTGCGTTTAATTGCTTTAATTTATTTTATGTGTGCTTTGATGTTAAACATTATTTGGCGCTAATGAAATAGTTACAGTCCACAGTAAAGTAACTGAAGGGAGGAAAAAGACGTGTGTGTGGGAGGGAGGAGACCCCCAAACCCCAAAGCCGCAGCAAACGATCTCGGTTCCTTGGGAAAGGGTGAAATCAGTCCGTAGGACGAAAAAAATAAAGAATATTTTGATTCTTGCCTCTTTTCAAGGCCTCTTTCTCACCCTCCCTCTTTCCGCAGGAGCCACCGGGTTGATGCTTAGGGAAAGAGAATTCTTCCGGTTTTCACCACCGGCCATTACCTTTTTCTCCTGCTATGAGTTTTATTTCGCCTACAGCTTTGGAGTGCTCTGGAGAGGGGATACGGTCACGTTAGACACAGCGGGTCCGCAGGGGTAACCAGAAGACGGAGGGTAAGAGGAGCCGAGACAGGGATTCCTTTATATGTTCTTAGCCAGAAATGACCCGCCCATGATGTGTGTTATCATGTTTATCATTATTATTTTAATAACAGGAGTGCAATAAAGCGAACGCAGCGTTAGAGTATTGATCAATTTGTTTGTTTTTTTATTTCGAAGAATAATCGTCACAGACCAGGAAAAAAAAAAAACCAAACCAAATCAAACCCCCAAAGAAACTCCTCGCCATTAAATAATTTGCTACCTTGATATACATCGCTTTACGCTGCACAATATTAATTCATCTTTTTTTCTAGTGACTGGAACAAGGGAGTGGTCCAGGTGAAAATATACACAGACAAAACAGCCTAGCAACGAGAAAAGAACCACGGAGGTTACGAAGAACAAGGCGCCAGGATAATTCATAGTATATACAGAGCACTAGAGACGCTATGTATAATTTCCCTTCAGACTCTCAGATCACATTTTCTAGTGAAAGGTGCTAACACGACCACGTTATTTCATACCAAAAAAGCACACGAGGATATACAAACAGGGAGATTTACAAATACTGGTACTATATGAAGACCCACATAGAAAAATGTATCTAGTCTGACTCTAAAGCCACATTGAATAGGCAGATAGTATCATCCATTCTATTGTACAAAACGAAACAAAACAAGACTTTAATATAGGTAGTATTTTTTTCAGTGTCAGGAAACAGAAAGTCTCATCCCTAGGTTTTTATGCTGCATTTATTATTTATTTTAATATATAGTCTTTTCTGCTCCATGATGTTTAGTTTCCTGGATTAACTTTCCGGACTAAAGTCCTCTATTCCTTTTCTTTCTTTTTTTCTTTCTGGGTTTTGTGATGGTGCCTGGGATTGTGGGCTTAGCCATGGGGGTCTGGCGGTGCAATTTGGGGGCGAGGCTGGGTGGGGAAGCCACTGGGAGGCTCTGGGGTAGTGGGTGCGGTGGGGCAGGGCTGGGTGGGGCAGCACTTGGGGGGGCTGCAGCAACTGGTGGAGGATAGGGCCAGGAGGCAGCAGTTGGGGGGGGGCATGTGGGCCTTACTGTGGGGGCAGTAGCCCCTGCGGGGGCCATTTAGTCGCCATTGGGGGGCGTACCCCTTGTGTGGGGGCTGAATTCTTTGTTAGGGGAATAAACCCCTTGTTTGGGGGCTGAACCCTGTTGGGGGGGCAAACCCCTTGTTTGGGGGCTGTACCTCTTGTTTGGGGGTTGAGCCCCATATTGGGGGGGCCCTGTTGGGGGACCAAACCCCTTGTATGGCAGCTGTACCTTTGTTTGGGGGCCGGACCCCCTGTTGGGGAGCCAAACCCCTTGTGTAGGGGCCATTTCCTTGTGGGAGTGCAGCAAAACATGTATTCATTAATACGTGTTTCATGAATTCGAGTTCACTTTATTATTATGATAAAATACTTGCTTTACCACTGTAGATATATCAATAAAACATTGTC